AGAGAGAGGACTCCAAGCAGGCTCCGCGCTGCCAGCACAGAGCCTGACGTGGAGCTCAAACTCACGAATGGTGAGATCATGACCTGAGCTGATATCAAGAATCAGACGCTTCACCGACTAAGCCACCCAGGCGCCCCTGAGGCTAGGTTTTGAGGACAGAGAAGGAAGGGTGTAAGAGGTCACAAGTCCACAGTAGTGGTGTCCTCTTTCTTTTCCAGCCACACTAATTCCTGCTGTTTGTTGTCAGATGGTGACCGCAGGGGGCCGGAGCATGCGCTTCCGCCGCCCTCCTTGAAGCACTTCTTTCCTTACAGGCTCAGTCGCTCAGTTGCTCAGTCTTGAGGCGTTAGCTACAATCACCTGGACTCACTCTCTGAGGCAGAAATCCTCTCTTTTTCAGATAGCAGCCAGCCGCGAGCGGGGGACATCTGAACATCAGGGGATGAATTTGCAAGGTGTTCAACAAGTAAGGACATGGGGTGTCCTGCCAGGGAGCCTTGTGGGCTGAATGGGGAGCCTGCTTCCAGCCAGCAGAAAACTTGGCTTGCCGCACTGCAATTCTAAATTGGGTCCTTTACCGAAAGAGCGGGGCTTGATAAGGAAGTTATGCTACTGTGGAAAAAATAAATAGGGAGGGAAGACTGAGAGAGTCCTTTATTGTTTTAAGGGACAGTGCAGGATAATAGGGCTGTGCCCGCCTATTATCCTTATCTGAGTTTTTGTAACAGCTTAACCAACAAGCTGATTGGGTGACAGCTGTTACAGTCTTGGGAGTTTCCCCAGGCCTGGGGAATTAAAGGACTGTGCTGGAAGGGAAGCTCTTTTTTCGTAAGAGTTTCAGGGTTTCCAGGCTGACTGGAGGCCTCAGGGGGAGATGAGGGCTCATCATTGATGACGGCCCCTGGCCCAGGCGATGACAGATGAGAAGAGTCTGGAGTGCAGATCCCCAGTCCCACACTCCGCCCAGGAAAAGGGTCTTACTTGGCCACAGTTGCTCCCCTCAGGGAAGAAAGTGAGGGTAGTGGCCTGGTTAGGAGCTGTGCTCCTGGTTAGGTCCCTTAGGTTCCTCCTGGAGCTGGACCCCAGCTGCAATCAGCCCCTCACTCCTGCTTTGTTGTCGGGGTGTACCAATTCTCTCCTGCCTCCACCCAGTTCTTTAGAAGGGCCCAGGAGTCAGCCCTGACAAACGTCTGTGCGTTAGTGTTCAGTAGAGATAACAATTAAGATTAAAAAAAAAAAGTAAGTAGTCAAGGCCCAAACCCACTGGTTTATCCTTACCTTTTACTGACATTCGAGAGATCTCCTTGGTTTGACAGACACTAAGCTTCTTCCCAGATTTGTGGTGCTGTGATTAAAGCCGAGTGAATCCCCATTTCTGCCTAGGAATTCTGGCTTCCAGCTGCAAAGCTTTCAAGGTCTTCCCACAATGCCCCCCATCTGCCTCCCTCTCCAGATCTCTCCAGGCTCCCGCCTCTCTTCCTGACACTGCAAGCTCCAACTTTGGGGCTCTTCCCTGTGGATCACCTCTAATTTCTCACTGACAAATCTGGTCCCCTGCTCATCTCCTGCTCTTTTGGAATGTCTCACCTCACTTTTCTCCACTGTCACATGTGAATTAGAGGTAGCAGGAGGTAGGGAGTTGTAGTGGAGGATTTTCGAGGTCTCTCTCAGCCCTGACATTCAGGGGGTCTACCAAGGGCAAAGGCATCACATAAGTGCATGTGTGTGTGTGTGTGTGATGTGTGTGTGGTGTGTGTGGGGTTTTGTATAATATAGTTAAGGCGTGGCTCCTGTCCTCAAGGAGTTTCTAGTTGAGTTGATCTGATGCGTACATAAAAAGCTCCTGATGATTTAAGGAAGGTATCCTATAAGTGAGGTGCATAAAGTTATCAGAGTTCCCCAGAATTTCAAGGAAATGAGAGATTCCCTCTGGAGGCAGAGGAGGGTGTTGGTGAAGGAATAAAATAGGATTCCCCAGGCTCTTTCCCAAGGCTGGCGGTACAGATGGCTTTGGCCTCCTGCCCAAAGTAGCCTAGTTATCTGCCTAGTCCCCATCCCGTGGGTAAGCCATCTCCTACTAGATATCCTGCTGGAAGGGAAATCTGTCCATGGATCCCCAGACTCATACCCTTTGAATTGGTGCCCTTTATTAAATCTTTTTTGCCTTCTTTATAAATGTTTTACTTATTTTAGAGAGAGAGTGCAAGTGGGGGAGTGACAGAGGGGGACATAAGATCTGAAGCAGGCTCTGCACTGACAGCAGCAAGCCCAATGCAGGGCTGGAACCCATGAACCTGGAGATATGGCCTGAGTCAAAGTCAGATGTTCAACCGACTGAGCCACCCAGACACCCCAGATCTTTTTTGCCTTCTATTTTTTTTTTAAATTTTGTTTTTGAGAGAGACAGACAGACAGACAGACAGAGACAGAGTGTGAGCGGGGGAGGGGCAGAGAGCGAGGGAGACACAGAATTGGAAGCAGGCTCCGGGCTCTGAGCTGTCAGCACAGAGACTGATGTGGGGCTCGAACTCACGAACCTTGAGACCATGACCTGAGCCGAAGTTGGACACTTAACCAACTGAGCCACCCAGGCGCCCCGGTCTTTTTTGCCTTCTTGATCATACTGCTAATAACATTTATTATTAATGTTAATAATATATTTATTGTTATTAGTATGACTATTTGTTAGACACAGTGCTAAGCGCTTCCCATGCATCATTTCACTTATTCCTTACAACAGTGTTTTAGGTGGCTATGAATATGATTATTATCCCAGTTTACAGATGGAGAAAATGAGGATGAGAAGTTGAGTGACCCATCTTACATCCCATGGGTAATCAGAAACAGAGACATTTTAACTCAGGTTTCTTCCTATTTATCTCCTACTCATTGCATAAATATGAGACCTCAACTACACAAAAGCACAGAAATCTTGAAGCAGAGAACAGGGGGAAGAGAAAGGGACATGGCAGGAGCCATGACTGGGAGTATGGATTAGGGCCAAGGCAGAGGGACAAAAAGTACAGTCTGAAAAGCCAAGGTTAAGGCTGGAAAAGCTCTCCCTGAGAGGGGCTGGGTGTCAGGATTGGGATGACCAAGAAGTAGGATCAGGCAGAGGGAGAACCTCCAAACAGGGAGTCTTTCAAGGATCCCCATGTGGGCCACGCTGGGAGCTTGAACAGGAGGCCTTCAAAGGCAGTTCTCACTTTGCAGCCCTGGGATTCTGTGAACTCTGGGTGTAGCTTTTAGAGCTGGACCTCACCCCAGTCATCTGTCTGGTCACTGAATTCCATCCTCTCCCTGCTACAGAGGAGGGAGGCAAGAGCATTGTGATTAGAGTGCACCCAAGGCCATTGGACTGCTTGGGTTTGAATCTTGGTTTCTCCTCTACTTCCGAGCTGTGATTTTGGACAATTTATTTTTCTGGGTCTGAGCACACATTGATTTGGGAGCAAGCCTCAGCTTGAATCCTAAGTCCTGTAACCTTGGGCAATTTACCTCATGGCTCATTTCCTCATCAGTAAATAAAAAAATATAATACTTGCCTCATAGGATCATTATAAGGATAGGAGGATTAAATGTTTATGTTTGTAAAGCATTTATAACACTGTCTGGCACGTTTTTGTTTTTTTTATTTTTATTTTTGACTGCATGTTAAAAACTTGTCTACAATCCGTTAAATGTAGCACACAGCACAATTTCATTGTGAGCTGTTTACATGTGGGTCTTCTTTGCGCTTCACTTGCTGCGAAGGGCAGAAAACAGATTCAATCCATCTTTGGCCGTAGCCCACTGACTGATTCCTGTTTGGTGCTCAATAAAGTGACCAGTTTGAAGTAAACCAGGAGACAGTAGCATGGGCAGCAGAGAGCTGCCCAGATAAGCAGATCTTAAACTGCTGATTGAGTGTAGGGGAGGAACAATTCTCCTCTTTCTGGAATATTTGAAGGGGCTCGGATACTGACTAGAGAGAGGCTATGAGACCCTCGAAGAGGTGGGACAAACAGCCCAGTGTTTATGTAAAGAGCAGGGCTTTGGAACCAGTGATCAGAGCCAGTTCTCTTACGTGTAAAATAGATCAGTATCCAATAAAATGAGGTAACAATAGTAACGACTATTTACTGAGCACATTCCAAGTGGACAGGCACCAGCTAAGTATTTGTCATGTCCATTCACAAATGAGGCTGGGTGAGGTTAAGCGACCTGCCCAAAGACACAAAGCAATAAAATGGAAGAGTCAAGGCTCGAATCGAGGTGTGACCTGGCGCACCTAAGCGCGATTCAAACAATAAGAGCCACTTTAAGACAATCGGCTTATGAATAGCGGCAACACAAGGAAAGCACGGCTGCTCTTCAACGCTACCACCGGCACACACGCCCCGGCGCGAGGTGAAAGTTCCGCCGCCTTTCGGAGCTTACGTGCGCTCCGTGACCGCCGCTGCTGACGAGGGGCAGGCGGACGAGACCGCATGCGCTCTGGCGCCCTCGAGCGCGCCCCTCCCCCACGGCGGCTGCAGCGCTGGCACGGGGCGCATGCGCACACCCGGCGGGCGGAGGGCGGCCCAGAGCGAGTGGAAAGATTTGGAAGAGCAAGTGCGCGGGAGCTGGGCGGTGGAGTGCGAGCGCGCAGGCGCGGCTGGGGCCGGACAGCGACTCCGGAATCTCAGCGAGTCCCACTCTGCGTCGCACCCCGAGCCGCCACCATGGCCGCCTATAAGCTGGTGCTGATCAGGCACGGCGAGAGCGCTTGGAACCTGGAGAACCGCTTCAGCGGCTGGTACGACGCCGACTTGAGCCCTGCCGGGCACGAGGAGGCGAAGCGCGGCGGGCAGGCGCTGCGAGGTGAGGAACGGGCCGGGGCGGGCTGCGGAGGCTCGGGCGGGCGCCCCTGGTTGAGGACCGCCTGGCTCGCCCCCGTACCCTCGCGGAGAGGGCTGACCTTGGGCTTCAGCTCTCCTGCAGTTTATTTTGCGGTTGGCAAAATGGTTTCAGGGTGTGTGTGCGGGGGGGGGGGGGGG